CTACTCTAAAATCCAATAAAATAATTTTGAGTTAAAGGTGCATATAAGCCCTCAAATATTTACATAAGAATCAAGCTGAGCTACGTTGGTTAATTCTTTGGTATGCAGTTTAATTGTTTAATAAAATATAAGCCAGCTGGGCTACGTGGGTGTCACTTTTGGTTCGCATTTTCCTGCATTTTAAATATTTTTTTTTAAATTTTTATACAATTTTTTCTCATAATTTTTCATAATCATTTTTTGAATAATTTTGATACCGCGTTCGGCAGTTAGCTAAACGCGTCTCATGCAGCCAACTTCCTATGACACAATTGGAGTTTTTGCAACTCACTTCAGTTGGCAAGCTCGCTAGTGCCCCGCGGCTGCCCAAGTCTGGGGGTGCTGCTTTTATACGACTAACACTTCATAACAAATGTAATGTTTGACGCCGCGCGTATGCTTTTGCCTATACAGCTGGGCGACCGAGTTCGATCCCAGCATCGAGAAAATATTTTTTTTGCGATCTCTCTCAGTTGAAATGAAAATTTTTTTTTATTCTTCTGGGCTTCAGACCAGCGTATTTTTTATACGGCCATATTATGCGCAAAAAATAATAAATAAAAACCTTTGAGTTTATAATATAAAAATATACTTTTTGAATTATATTGTTTATTTTATTCCTCTGTTGTGTATATTATTACGTTGCGTGTAATGTATTTAATACTTCTCGCTTGACACATTCGCTCCCGTTTTGCTGAAACAAAACAAAAGCAATGACTGATTTTCTATGCTATTTCGTGTATGTCTGCTTGCATATCGGCACCTATGGATGCAGCAGCGTGAAAATTGTTAACAGCAGACAATCGAGTATTGAAAAGAATTTAGCGGGTGATTACCACGCTCCATGTGATAATAGTCTGCTGCTTGTCGCAACGTGTGCAATCGATGGCTGTATTTCTTCGCCTGATATTCCTTGATTTGTAAGTGTTCTCTATTACTTTTATCATTATCTTTAATTAATCGTACTATGATATATTAGGATAAATCTATTTTTCCGCGTACATAATAGTAAATTGGGTAGAATGTCAGATTCGAAAAAAATCAAACGTGCTCGTTAACTTGATGAATCGGCTTCTGCCTCGAGAAAAAAGGCAAGGCTCAATACTGACTGGTTTCTTGAAGACGGCTTAAATTGATTTTATCACGTGGATGATCCTAATGTTACTTTTGCTCATTGTTCTATTTGTAAACCTGAATTGAATGTTAGTATATTTGTATAGTTGTATAGTTGGTATAGTTGGTGGTTGTTAGTATAGTTGTATTTGTGTATTTTCATTTTGCTCGGATTTGTCCTGGTTCTTGTTTGGCTCATTTTCATTTCGGTTTTCATTCTGTTCATTCTCATTTCGATTTTCATTCTGTTAATTTTCATTCGCATTCTCATTTCAATTTTCATCCTGTTCCTTTTCATTCGCATTTTTATTTGCCTCATTTGCATTCTCATTTTGCTCATTTTCATTTACATTTTCACTTGTCTCAATTTCTCTATTTTGATTTTCTCAATGTAAAGTTATATCTTCATTTTCAAAATTATTTTCTAAATCAATTTCATCAACGAGCGGTTGTTCAATCGAAAATCCATTGTTTTCGCCAATTTCTATTAACAGTTCATGAAAATTTAAATCGGTCTTAAAATTTAATAATTTTGTATAATGTTCATCAATCTTTATTTTGCTGTTACTTAATAATTAATTTGTAAAAACAACATCTCGATGCATTTCCATTTTTTCAGTATTAACATTCAAAATTTTATATCTTTTTATACTTTTGCTATAACCCACAAAAATGTCTTTTTCAGCTTTCGGATCCCACTTTAATCTTTTTTGTTTTGGAATGTTAAAATAATTTTCTAAAAAATAACTTATGCTTTATATCGAACTTTTCTGTGATAGGAGACATACCATTGTTTTTAAATTCGCTACAGTTATTACAACTTAAAATACCTCAAACCTCTTTCATGGAGTCGTCTTCTTATTGTTTGATTGCTGATTGGTCTGTTCAGTAAGGCATTCGTACGGATTCGATACGCGATTTGTGCTGGATTGCGGAGAACTTCGACTACGATATAGCGATCTTCTCGATTGGTGACTGTAGGTCGACCTTTGCCAGGCCTCCAGCGGTAGCCACTTGTTTCTTGGTATCGTCTAAAAGCGCGAGAAACAGTTGTCCGATGGACGGGAATTGGTCTTGCTACATTGCTTTGAGATATACCTTTGGCAACGATTCGAGCTGACTGAATTTCAATTAAGCGAGGCATTTTGCACACTGTACTTTTCTTGTTTTTTTTAAATTTAATGTTTTGTAAAATTAATAAGTTTAAGTTGAAGGCCAAAACAATAGATTGGATTCGACGAACTATTACGTCGTGGTGTGAATGCAGTAACGCTAATGATGGAATTCATAGTGGTATTTGTTAAATACAGAAAAATATCTTTGAAATGGCGCACAGGGCGCAAAAGTAATTGTTGAGAGCTCTATTTTTTTACATTAATCGTTGAAAAGAGTACTTTGCGATGGTGTATGTTAGATTCTGATAACTCATTACTGTAGTTTATGAACGTGGTTGAACAATCGATTTTTTTCATTAATTTTTAGTCGCGACAATGCCATCGTTTTTCATAAAAGTGTATTTTTTATCATTTGCTGTTAAAGTCAATCCTGCACCTAAAGCGCCACCCATAGAGAGCAAATTAAATTTTATATTTCGGCACGTATGAGACGTTAGTTAACCTTTTTTCAACCCATGATTTCCCAATAAAAGCGCTTATTTTTACATCACCTTTGCCGACTGCGTATAAAAAATTACTGTCGCCTAATCTTACGGGATTGGAATTCTTGAAATGCTCTTATACGGAGAATATCTCTCTCCTTCCTGTCATATGCGACGTAGCTCTGGAGTCCATCATCCATACCGATGCGTCTTTGTTTACGTCGTCTGTGTAGATAGAAGCGAGATATGTCTCTCCCACCACGATGAGTGCGTTGTCGTTATTATGGTTATTCGTTGTATTTTTCTGCTTCATGCTTGACGGTCGTTTATTTTGTTTGATTACAGAAATGGCCTTTTTTTTACAATTGAAACACTCGACATATTTTTTCGAATGATTATCGGTCGACTTCTTATTTTTATTTTTGGAAAATGCCTTATGCTCCGAAGTTCTCGTTGACAAGGCAACACTTTTTTGATCAGATTGCGTTTTTCTCCTTGTTTCCTCCATAATTAAGCATGATGATAAATTGTCAGTTGTACTATTAGCTGAACTCGTAGATTCCCAAGCCGATATGAAGTGATTGTAATCCTCTGGCAATATTAGTAAAACTTTTGTGATGAGCATACTAAAGGAGATTTCTTCTCCCAAGGCTTTAAATCTACAGCGTGGGTCATGCACCTTTGATATGTGAGTTGTAATATCGTCACTTGGGTCTTTTCGGCAATTAAACCACTTTTATTGCAGCAGGTTTATGCTGGTTACTGATTTATTTACAAACACTACATTTAATTTAATCCACATTTCATTTGAGTAACTTATTGTAATATAAAATTTAATGCCTTTTCAAAATCTGATCAGATTTTCGAAAAAATGATCAGATCAAAAGTTAAACTTGATTTTATCCAAAAAACCGAGATTTCTAAAAAATTTTTTTTTTATTTTTCGAGTTTCCAAATGAAAACCATTTCAAATCTCAGGGGTTTTGTGCACATATCGCGTTCTTGATATCTGAACTAAAAGTAAGAAGGGTTTCGATTAAAAAAATTGATGTTTCAACACAAAAAATAGTGGTCAAAACACGAAAAAATAAACGAAATTTTCTAGAATTTTTCTCAAAAACAAAGGACTTGAGAGAAAAGAGTATTTTTCAACTTTATCGTCTTCAATCTAAACCTCGCTAACTTTTAGTTTAGGTATAGAGGACGCGATTTTTGCACGAAACCTCTTAGATTTCAAATGGTTTCATTTGGAAATTCAATAATGAAAACTTTTTTTTTTAATTATACTTTAAAATCAAGTTTAACTTTTGACATGATCGTTTTTTCTAAAATCTGAGGTCAGATTTTAAAAGGGCATTCAATTTTACATTACAATTAGTTACTCGCATGTTTTTATGACCCCATTTTCACGAAAAATACAGTGACCGAGTAAAGTGTTGAAAAACGTTTTCTTGGGACTTAATGGGTTTAAACAATTATTAAAAAACTTGAAAAGGGGATCCTGTATCACAGAACATACGATAGAGGTTCATTTTGACTTTAAAATAAAATTATATAATCTCGTTGTTAGCGGACTAGGTTTTTTTGTTTTTTTTTTTCATTCAAAACGTTAAATCGTAGGTCTCTAAAACTCTCAGAGTCATCATTAGGAAAACAAATAAAAGTCTTAAAGTTTAATTTGATGAATGTAGTTTGGTCAAGACAACAAAATTCGATATTTGCTCAAAAAACTGAAAAAACTCAAGAAAATGCTCATTTTTCGCCTTTTTTCCTAATTTCGAACGTTATATTCGTGTAAACGATTTTTTTTTAGATTCTTAAACAGTAAAAGGGTAAAGTTTCTTCAATATAAAATGTATAAAATTATCCTACAATATTGAGTATAACATGGTTGAGTATAATATGGGGAAAAAACGGTTTTTTGTAAACGGGAAGTGTTTAGCGACTACTATTGGGAGTTATGACGACGGGTTTCTTCATTTGTGGTCCTAAACTAACTTTTTGAGGGGTAATGAGCGAGGATCGGAGCACTTTGGGAAATAAGGACCACCCTATTATTCACCACTTTCCTTAGTCCTGCAGGCGTTAAAAGATATATGTTTCTCCATGTTACCGATACATTTGATTAGAACTTACAACAATTTCTAACAGTCCATTTTTTTATGAATTTTATAAATTATTATTGAATCCATGCAGCTATTTAAATAATTTTTTCATAACTGTAAACTGATTCTTTCATATTGTCCTTTAGATTTGCATTAATCAAACATGTGTCAGCCAATTTCCATTCATACAAATATCTAAATGTCCAAGTAACCATGGTAATCACGAGTGTTCAGGTCATGGGGTAAGTTTGAAAAATTTCATGAATTATTTAGAAAATAAAATTATTGAGTACAAAACGATGATGATTTGCTTCTAAACATAAATGCTGTAGCCATTTGTATAATATGTATATTGTATAGTTCAAATTTTTACTCCATTTTTATCAAGTAAAAATTAATGAAACAAATTGCGTGAAGGTTAACCTTCTGTCCCTTCTATAAAAACTCACAATCAAAAGTAAAATTATACATGTCAAAATTATTACTATTACATATCGTCAAGATTTCACCAGTATGTCTCCTAACCTCTTCAAGATAAGACTAACAGGTCGTTATAATATTATTTAAAATTTTTTTTATAAATCTAGTTTAAATTTTTTAGTATCCTCTTACTTAATAAGTATCGACTTCTGAAAATCGATGTACAAAATTTCACAGATACACAATTTTAATAAATAAAATTGGATTCATAGTCAAAGATTTTCATATTTTTCAAGTCGATCCTAAGTTGATGTAGTAACACGACTGACTTTTTGAGTTGCTTGTTCTTGTGTCAAGAGAAATCAAAGTTATTATTTTTTGGGTCAATGGTTTCAATGATAGCTTATCATTAGTAGGTAGCGATGAACAATGATCAAGCACGATTTTTGGGTCTCATGTGGATTCGTATTTCGGAGTAGTCAGTATCAATTCAGCTACGCCCTTAAAAAATCTTGTGATCTTTCCGTCCTCTCCAATCTCTGAGCCCATCAAGAGAGCTATTGCCGATCTGTATCAATTCAATGTTCTGTATGCAGAACCTGAGTTATATTATTCAGTTAAATGTTTGAAGACATATTCAGCTGATTTATTTAGTGGATCTTGTAACCATTTAGCTAATAAAAGAGGGTTGACTGGTGCTCCTTGTCCTTCCTCTTGTCGTTGTAATGGTGCAATGGCTTGTTGCGATGTCTCAACCTGCCCAAAGTCTGGTAGCTCTTCTTGATCTGACGGGGTGAGTGAGTTGAGTTTTTTAACCTTGTTACATTCGATGTGCCTGACACGTTTTGCAGGTATTTGCAGGTCCTTTATAGCGGCTTGCATTGACTTTGCTGATCTTAGACTTTCTTCCAATTTATAGTCAAATAAAAAGGTGTTGAATTTAGTATTCATTAATGTGTCCTTGAGTGCTAAGTTTGTATTAGAGATGATTAATGAACGATGAAGCATGGATTCATTTCTCATGATAACTATCACGATCGAGAAGCTTGACACTGTCGCTCAGCGCTTCGATAGCTGTTAGATCTTCCAGGTCTCTGCCGTCTTTTGTTAAAATCGAAAAGCTTTTAAACTACGGCAGAGAGGCCAGGAATGATTTTTTGCTGTTTTGTTTGTGAGGGATTTTAGTTGGATAACGAAATAATAAATTATCAAAGATATTAATAAAGAATTAATTATAAACTGTATATTGTATAGTCCAAAATAAGTGTGTGTACAAGATGCTCTGGGCGCCACTGCATGAAGAGCATGCAGACTCAACGATTATAATGTCGGGGACGCGAGTACATGTCGATGGCAAAAGAATCCGATTAACTAAGAAATGACTTCACTACGCAAATACCGATATGGCTCGAGAGATAGTGAATGTGTTTGTGTACTTAAATTATCGCTGGCCAGTCTCTTCGGCGACGACGGTTTCAGGTCCACCCTATGTTGGCTGGCATGGTGGCAGGATGGCAAGCGACACCTTGAGTTGGAGATCTTCTCAAAAGACACTACGAGTGTGAGCGATGTTGGCTGGTCAAAGTCCTAATTGCGAGTGGGTCTAGTCTGAGGCGACTCTCTGCAGGCACGAATTTGAATGAGTTCGGCTCCTTGTGAATTTCGTTAGTGCGCATGTGTCGTTATCGATAAATTAGGAGTATCGACGTATCGACCTGCCAAAGCGTCTTGGCTATGCCATGTTCTCTTGATGATCTTGTCTATGGTGTGTGTGAATGTGTGTAAGTTAGTCGCGATCTCTCGAGCCACACGAGTATCGGAGGTATCGTTGTGTCGGGGATGGCGTAACAACGGACACTAGCTCTGCGTTTATTTTTGGAGGGTTTCTGAATACGCAGTTCTGCGGCAAATCATATTTTTTCATGATTTCATTTTTGTCCTTTTCTGGGAATCCGTCTTCTATGACATCTTGCCTGCAACGCGTCAGTTCCAGATGCAAGTCAGGAGCTAAAACACGTTCTTCTTTGAAGCGTTTTCCAATAGTGGCAGAAATCTGTGGGTTTTCTTCTGTATTTCTCGGTGTCGTAGATCGGCTGCGATTATGGCCAGCGCTGCGGCTGACGCTACGACTGTGGCTGCGGCTGCGGCTGTTGAAGCTACGAGCCCGGCTTTTGCGTCCTGCAAACACAAACACACACAAAAGGTGTTTGTAACGTTTCATATTTGTATATTATTGTTTTACAGGTTAGAGCCTGTTGCAGTTTCGTGTAAAACAGGTTAGAGCAAGTAGCTGCATCATGTACGTATTGGTATGTAATTGATTCGTGCATGCGAGCGAAGAGTAGAGATTAGGGCCTCTCTCAGTTGCCGCTCTATACAAAGGTTAGAACCTGTGTATGCACATACAAGCTCGTACGCGCTCGTAATTACCTCTTTGGGATGTGTGTCTTTATTTACACCACGGTGGTTAGAGCCAAGCCGTGTATCCCCGAGAAAGTTGGTTAGAGCCAAACTTATTTTGAGCAAGTAAAATTAATCCGCGTATAATCCAGGTTTAATTCGGGTTAAAATCCGGGTTTAATACAGTTTAAAACCTGGATTTAATCCGTGTTAAAAACTTGGTTTAAAATCAGTAGATAATCGAGCTTTAACCTGATAGAATATTGGTTGATACTCAGATTTAAAAAATCATATAAAACTGTTTAAAGCCCGGTTATAAAGCTGGTGGAAACCCGATGGTGGTAAAACTATATTAAAACTAAGATTAAATCTAGTTAAAAACCTGGTTTGACACCAAGGCTCAGGATTAAAACCGGTTTTAATCGGTTCGAGTCCGAGGTGCGAATAAGTTAAAAGCCCAGGCTATCACCAGACTGAAATGCGTTCTAAAAAACAATATTTTAAATGATCACGGGTAAGAGACAATGCTGATCTTCAAGCTTACGACCACGTCGGGGACAATTAATAAAAGCAATTTGAATAAGCAGTTTGCAATAACCATATTACTCGGCTTTATTTGTATCGTAGCTCCAGTTATGCCAGGATATCCTGGCTAACTTTTTAACTTCTCAATTTGTATCGAGAAAACTGCCAACTGTGCAGAGAATTCATAATTTTCCGTACCAACTAAAGGGGGCGATTAACCAAAAGATACAAAAGAAATCGTGCTGTTGCATAACAGGGGTTTTATTTGCAATAGACCTGAGCATTAAATCATAATAGAATAGATAACGATTACATTGGCCACTGCCGTTTTAAAATAACATACAAGATTATGTCTGTGCTGAGCTGTTGCATATACCAGTGGTACGCCAGAGAGAGATAACGGGCAAAACCCACGTGAAAATAGTATGTAAGATCTGACTCCAGATCTGGCATCAGATCTGGTATAAGATCTGACAAATGTACGCCAGATCTGACATCAGATCTAATACCAGATCTTGTATTCGATAATCGACATCAGAACTTATATCAGATCTCACATTAGATCTAATGTTAGATCTGAAATGACTGTAATGACTGTATTGCCTATAATTAATTAAACAATAGGTTTATTAATAATTAAAATTTTATAATAAATCTTAATTAATGCTGAGCAAAGCGAAGTCTCTTATCCTTTCAGCTCGGTAGATCTTGACATATTTTGTGTCAACAGTTTCTGGAAAACGACTTTACCGAATGGTCTAAAATTTTTAAGGGTTGTTGAGGGCGGTCAGCCGAAGGTCTGATTGCCACATTCCGTCGACCTGGTGCACCAGGTCGCCGATCTGGTCCCTGTGAAAACTTCTTCGAGAATTTTCGTTATTATTAGGTTATGCTGAATGTGTAAAAAGTGTCAAACCACATTCCGTCGACTTGGTGCACCAGGTCGCCGATCTTGCCCACGTGAAACCTTCTTCGAGAATTCTCGTTATTTTCAGATCGTAGTGACTGATTGTAAAGTGTAGAATCGCATTCCGTCGACCTGGTGCACCAGGTCACCGATCTGGCCCCTGTAAAAACTTCTTCAAGAATTTTCGTTATTTTTGGGTTGTACTGACTCTATTAAATTGATTTTAGACTCTATTAAAAGTTGCTAAAAGTTTATAAAAGTTATTAAAATTTATTAAAAGATTATAAAAGTTTAAAAAAGTCTATAAAAGTTTATAAAAGTTTATAGTTTTTTTTTATTTTCCGGTTTCAATATGTTAGAATAATCTCAACTTTTATAAAAAACTATAAATTGCTAATAAAAGCTCGCTTAAAAATAAAAAATCATCCAACAAATTATGAAAAAATTCACACGCGTTTTTTGATCAATTCTAAGCACTTTTTGTTTTATAAAATTTTTCCGTAGAGTCCATTCTTACCGAGTAAAAAAATACCAAAGCTTTCTTTTTACATTTTCGGCTACAATCAGCTGTTTTGGTGGCCACCATCTTGAATCTGGATGAACCAACACCGCTAATTTTTTTAGTTTTGGCCTGAATGCCACTAGACCCAGAGTTTCAAGCCAATCCGAATGCATAATTATGGTGAAAAAACCATCATTTTGAGAAAAAATGTTCAAAAACAACGTTTTTTTTTTTGTTTAAACGAATGTATTTTTGAAGCGGTTGCATGTATCGTAAATCTGACGCCAGATTCGAAAAGAGCGATAAAAATTACCATTAAATATGGAATTTTCACATTAATTTGACTATAGTTTCATGAAAAAATAACGTGTAGAAAAATAAGTCAAGAATAGGGTCTCTTGGTATTAGACGGGTTAATTCGTAAATCTGGTTTATTATACCAACTTTGGTCTTGTCCATATCTTACAAAATCATTGTCTCAATGCAGT